ACAGACGGACAGACGGACATGGATAAATCAACTCAGCTCGACGTTCTGATCATATAAGTATACATTTTAATGGGTCTATCTCTTTTTGTTCTGGTACTTACAAACATCGGACCAAAGTTATAATACCATTTCATGCTCATGAAAGGTATAAAAAGGTAAAGTTATTACGCACAAGGTTTACATATTGAGTTTATTTTAGTTAATTTACTATTAATCTCCAGTTTTATTTTATTTTAAGTAGTGCGTGTCAACTATGATTGCCGTATACAATTTTCCAAAATAAATAAAAATGTTGAAAAGTTGTGGCAGAATTTGTCAGTTGATAGTTGAAAAGTAAATGGGTTAGTTTTAAAGGCACATAGCTATATCTACTTTATTATTATTATTTTTTTTTTAAACAAGGATGGATGTTTAGGGATCCTTTTATTTTTGAATGCGTTATGATGTGGTATAAGTTTCATATGTTAAAAATGTTTTTCCTATCCAAAAGTATTTAATAGTAAACAATGCCAAATCAAGGACAATGCTCCAACCGGATAATAAATTACCAAATGTACCACCTATTAAAACTGCGAAAATTATCAGCTTTTTCAAAGATTGCAAATTTTCTGTATATTTTGTTTCTTTGATAGCGAATGCTCAGACTTTTTGTCTGATNGTTTCGAAGATTTCAAATTTTCTGTATATTTTGTTACTTTGATAGCGAATGCTCAGAATTTTTTTCTGATGGATAATTTTGTCTGGAGAATACGGAAACACTCCCAGACCCGTTCAATATCAAAAAAATATTTACGAATTGCTACCAGTACTTGCATGTTTTCACTGGAAATGCATTTATTAACTCACAAAATTTGGCGAAAAAAGGGCGAAATGTAAACAATGTATTTAGAGGAACATTTGATAAAAAAGTTGATAAGATAGACCTTCGAGCTGAGAGTAAAGGTTAAATATGGATTATATCGTATAAAGAAAATACAACACAAGGATTGTGCTCTGAAACTTTGTTTCCAATAAATTATGAATATTAATTATTTACCAAAAACATGCTCAAAACAAAACTAGTGAAATTAAAATATGGGTGCATAATTTTAATTCAAGATAGATTTTTTGATTTTTATGACTATGGAAACATTACCAACCAAAAGAAAAATAACGCGGCAAACCTTAAACATCAGAAAGTTAAAATGGCGTAAGTTGCACGTTTTTGCTAGTTTTGCGTTCAATAACTCTTTATGATAATTTTCACTACCTCTCCATTTCCCTCTCTATGTTTCTTTTACGCTCCCGCTGTAAGTACTTACTGTAAATGTTTATGAATAGGCCTATTATCACAGCAACTTTTTGTTGATTTTAGCAAAAATTAAATTTTTAATAAACACCACGTATTTACTTCTATGAAAAGAAGAAGAAAAGATTACTGTATTTTTATCCACAAAAACGCTGATTTCCAAGTATGCAAAGTGTGGTGCAGTGCCGTATTTTGACAAAATTGTATCAAAAATGTCAATGTAGTACCAATGTACTTTTGGCTTCCAAAATGTACCAAAAAAGTACAATTGTACCATCAATTTCATCACTGGTCCATTGCATTGTGACTGGTACAGTGTAATTGTGTATGAAGTAACAAAAATTACAGATTCTTTTTCCTTTTTTATACCCGAGCGCACTTGTGCACAAGGGTATATTAATTTTGTTCACATAACGGTTGTTTGTAACAGCCAAAACGAATCGAGATAGATATAGAGAAATGTATACATAAATGATCAGGATGAAAAAAGAAATCGATTAAGCCATGTATGTCTGTCCGTCCGTCCGTCCGTCTGTCCGTCTGTCCGTCTGTCCGTCTGTCCGTNTTGTTGACCTTGGTACAGCATAAAAAATCGCCGAAAATTTTTAAAATCGGACAATAACCACGCCCACATCCCATATAACGGTAATTTAGAGAAATATAAAATCTTCGATAAATCAGTAAATATTGAAGCTAATTTATTCAAAATTGATGTTTGCAACAATTCTTTGCCAAGAAATACATTTATGGTAAAATTTTGGAAAATCGGCGTGGCACCGCCCACTTATGATCACATATAAGTATATCGGTAACCGTTCTACCAATGTGTACAAAACTCGGTGTGGTTATTGTGCTTGCCAAATATAAGCAAAACCTTGAAAATTATTGAAATCTGACTAAAATTACGGCCGCTTTTCATATAACGGTAAATTTCAGAAATGCTTGAAACTTCAATATTTCGAAATTGAAGGACGCTAATTTACTTAAAATTGATACACCCCGGCTTACCATCTAGCAGAAGGTTTCGGAAAGAAATCTGAAAAAACATATATTTAATACTTGCGCCGGGTATTTAATGTTCGGCTCCGCCCGAACTTAGGGCGCGAACAGAGTGGTGAACAAGTTCTCGCAATAAGCGTCAGTCGGCTCGGCTCGGCAACAAGCGGCCACTCTGTTCGCACCCTTAGACTTTCTTACTTGTTAATATTGTTTAATTGTGTTCATTTAAAAATACGTTACCACTGAAATAGAGATAATTAACATTTATGTCGTTTTCCTTTTTACATGGAATGACCCATGGCCTGTTTGGCAAATGTTCACTTAAATTGAATTAGATTTTTTAATTATCTTTCGATTGACATCTCTATTGTAATATTTTATTAAATTTAATTTAGCATGTAAACAGCTCATCAAATATTTTTCGAAATATAGCTTTAATCGAACTGTTTCGTTTGTAATATGTATATCATTGAAATAACTCATGAAATTTAATTACTTTGAAACAGGTGGCATCCCCTCTTTAAATTTTTCAAAATAAAGAGGCGTAAGAACTCTTTCGCTTAGCATCCCCGTTTTAGTACCTTATTTATGAAAAAATGGAATTTCATTTTTACACAGGCGACAAGCAACCCTTTTCAAAATATTCTAAAAAAAAATTTTTCCCAAACCTTATTCGTTGGCAATCCATACTTCATTTAACATTTAACTTATTAACAAATTCAGATTTAATTTTTTAATAACTAAACATTTCTTTAGTGGATTTTTATTTTTAATTGAATCGAACCATTTTTAAGAGTGGTTTTCGTTTCGGTTGTGGCACTTCAACATAAAAACGATTGGATTTGAAGCCCGAAAAAAGGCGGAGGCTTCCATACAAAACCTAATTCTCTGTTTAGTCACAATTAAAAAACAATAGAAAAAAAACACCGAATATTTCTGAAGGTCAGCTCGTCCAGCGGTAAATGCATTCGGTGCTGCTTATCTTAGAAACTGAAATAAAATGTTTTCAATACACACTATTCCAGTTGGTAAATATTGGCAACCACATTCGTAATTTTAAATAGCTCAGCTGAAATAATATGCCGCACCTACCCACAGCTTACCATCGATGACGAACGCTGGCTTCGTTGGTTAAACAAAGAAAAAGATGAAAATTGCATAATGAATAAATTAAGTGAAGCACACAAGTAAAACGTGCATTAATGAAATAAAAAATATCTTAAATAATAGTGGACCAATTGCGTAGAATTTTCATTCAAATATCATAAACACTCATTGCTGCACGCTTATCAACTTCAACTAGCCGCTTAAGCATGTTTCAGTGGTTAATCCAACGTTCATGGCAAATTAGGTCAGAATAAGTAAGCGAGAAAGTCATTAACCGGCGTGCGAAAAAACACGTACGTGCAGCTCAAGAAAATCAGAACAGCGTGAGCTTCCATGCTAAGCACCGAATACGTACCCTCTAATGAAACACGCACTTTGCCAAAGTTCGAGGCGACGGACAAATTACTAATATTTAGATTGGTGTAATGCATAGAAGCACATAAAATGATAAATGTGTGGGTGAGGTTTGAAAAACCGATTTTCATTTCTACTGGCCCCTGCTGAATATGGATATAAAAAGGCAACATTCAGTATAACATCTCAGTTACTCGTTGGAAAACCAAAACCATAGTCTTAAGAATGTGGTACATATTTTTTATAGGAAGCTTAGCTGCCGCGGCCTCAACAACTGAACTCTACACACCACTTTGTAACGAAAGTGGTTCACCGGTGTGTGCAACGAATGGGCAGAAGTATCTTTATTTCCAGAATGAATGCAAACTCAACGCTTATATTTACAAACAACTTTTCTTTGGGAGAATAGGTGAGTCGAACTTTTCTTTGCTTTTCTCAACTTCTTCACGCAGTATTTAGTTCAAATACAAATTTTTATTTCTTCCATCTGCAGTTCCAATAAAAACGGACATTGAAAATTGTCTACCTAATTGCGATGAAATTGTCTGTCCTAAGTTATTTAAGCCAGTTTGCGCGCAACAAGTGCCAAAAGGAACTGTGAAGACTCTGCCGAACGCATGCCTAGTGGATCGACTGATTTGCGAGACCAAGCAACGTAAATACGAACTTTGACGGCCTTCACTGTCGCCTTTATTTTAGGCCATTTTAAATACATTTCCTTCTTTATACTCTTCCACAGACTGGACAGTTATTGGCGAAGGGCTCTGCTCGCCAATTCAAGCGCCGAAGTCTAAAACCGGTCCGGAATATACTTTCACTTCTGATGCCCAAAGTAAACCCTCAAAGCTTGTATCCGCGCTAGCTTACGATGCATACGCAGATCGAAATGACGGTTACTCTGCAAGCGCTCCAACTTCTGAAACAGATAGTGCTCCCGAAGATGCGCTTACCTCTACTGATATAGCTCAATTGTATCAAGGCGCTGAGCTTGTTGCTGCCCCAGCACCTAGTTATGCACCAGCGCAAGAGACCACAGCAATGTCATCGTCAAATGCAGAACAAAATGAAGGTTACTCGTCACCAGCTTCATTATCTGGAAAAAACGAAGCGCAAGACCCAAGCTCAGCATCGCTTCCGTATGCAGAGACAGCTCCTGCGGCAGCCGATTATAGTAAAACAGAGCAATCTCCAGGTGATTCTTCACCAACTTACATAGTTTCAGAAAAAACCTTACAATCTATATTAGGGTCTTACTTAGGCCAGAATCAACTTTATGTCGCCGAAGATCCTGTGTCTGTATCTTATGTAGACCCAGAGCCAAGTGCGACATCACAGCCATCGTCAAACCCAGTTGAGGCTCCAGATTATGCCTCCCACTTTTCTGGTTCTGTTCCTTGCGCAGTTGTAAGTCCGGCTATGGACTCTAACGCTGCTTCAGAGAAAAATTCGACATCAAAATCTGACTCACCGGTAGTTCAGGACCAAGTGTATGCTGCCCCAGAACCAGATCCTGTATCTTACGTTATTCCTGAGCCAAGCCCGGCCCCACAGTCTTCGTCATACACAGTCCGGGATCAAGTATATGCCTCTCCAGCCTCTTATTCCGCAACTTATGGAGCTCCAAAGTCAAGTCCAGCACAACAATCTTCGTCCCAATATGTTCCAGATCCAAGTCCTGCACCAAAACCTCCGACATATGCAAACCAGGATCCAGTTTTTGTTTTCGTAGCTCATGCTCCTGTGCCTAACGTTGCCCAAGAGCCTAGTCCAGTACTGCGACCTACGTCATACCCTGCCCAAGAGGCAAGTCCGGCACTACAGCCTTCGTCGTACGCAGCACAAAACCAAACTTATGCCGTATCAACTTCTGCTTCTGCAACTAACATTGGTCAAGTGAAAAATATAGCACTACAACCTTCGTCATACTCTGATCAAGACCAAGCTTATGCTGCACCTGCTTCTGCTACCTACGCTACTCCAGATCCATATCCAGTAGCACAACCATCGTCCTACGCTGCTCCAGAGCCAAGCCCAGCACCCCAATCTTCATCACATGCAGACGAAGTTTATTCCTCGCCAGGCTCTACTAACGTTGCTGAAGAGCTAAGTGCAGCACCACAACCTTCATCATACGCAGTTCAGGACCAACTTTATGCTGTACCAGCTTCTGCTTCTGTACCTTACAGTGCTCCAGAGATAAATCCACAAACTTCGCCATACTCTGACCAAGGCCAAGTTTATGCCGAACCTGGTTCTGCTACTTACGCCGTTCCAGACCCACAACGTTCCTCCTACCCTGCTCCGGAGCCAAGTACAGCACCCCAACCTTCATCAGCCCAGGACCAACTTTATGCCACATCAGCTTCGGCTTCTGTACCTTACAGTTCTCTAGATGCACATCCAGCACCGCAACCTTCGTCATATTCCGACCAAGACCAAGTTTATGCCGCTTCTGCTACTCACGCTGCTCCAGAGCCATGCCCAGCACCACAACCATCGTCCTACGCTGTTCCAGAGCCCATTCCAGCACCACAACCGTCATCATACGCAGCCCAGAATGAAGTTGTTCCTGCACCACAGCCTTCAACATACGCAGTGCAGGACCAAGTTTATGGAGCTTCTGTTTCTTCCACCGCTCCACAGTCAAATCCAGAACGGCGACCTTCATTATACTTACCACAGGACCCAGTTTATGTCACACCAGCTTCTGCCACTTATCATGCCGACCAAAGCCCTTCACCAGCTTCCTATTCCCATGTGGTACCAGCAGCGTCTTCTTACGAAACGTCTGAAGCGGTTCCTTCTCCTTACATAAATCCGGTATTATCCTCTTATGAAGCACCATCCTCCGCGCCAGTAGCGGACCCAGCAGCTGCATCTGGTTTGTATGCGGCAACAGGCACAGCTCCAGATGTTTATGGTTCAAAATTAAATAGCTCTCCGGCACCCGCCGCCACTGGCTATACTTCTGCCGCTTCTTCTAATGCCGCTCCACAGCCAATTGCAGCATTACAGACTGCGTCATACTCAGCTCGGAATCAAGTTTATGGCACACCAGCTTCTGCCACCTATCCTACCGACCAAGGTCCAACACCAGCTTCATTTTCATATGCAGTTCCTACATCATCTTCTCATTACCAAGCACCGGAACCAGCACCTGGTTCAGCGGTTGCATCTCCAGCTTACTCCTCTTCAAATCAAAATGCGGAAACGGTGCCATCTAGTTACCCAAAGCCCCTGCCATCCTCATACGATGGTATAAACTCAGCACAAGTAACGCAAATAGCACTTGCACCTGCTTCCTATGCGGCGACAGAAACAGCTTATCAAAGTCAAAGTTCGGTATCAGTTACAAATTCATATGGCGCTCCAATACCCGACGTCGCTGGTTATCCTGTTGCAAATGCGAGATCAGGACAATCTCCAGCCCATTATTCAGCACCGCCTATTGCTCCAAGTCCCACTTTCCCACCCTGGCTAAATTCGAAAANCACCCGACGTCGCTGGTTATCCTGTTGCAAATGCGAGATCAGGACAATCTCCAGCCCATTATTCAGTACCGCCTATTGCTCCAAGTCCCACTTTCCCACCCTGGCTAAATTCGAAAACAAATGCCTTAGCTGAATTCGCAGCAGCAACAAATATTGCGAAATTCGTCCAAGGTCTGCGTTGGCAATTCGGGCCAATTTATTACCAACCAAATTATGTTCACATCATACATTATGATGATTAAACATTTTATCGACGATAAATTGTAACGATTTATAACCCATAATGGGTCGGAACGTAGGATTAAGTGTGGTATAATAAATAGCATAAACAAATAAATACTGTCTTTTTTTAAATTTGATACTCCTCGGTATGATATTTCGCGTATTCAGGTTAAAGAGAGTTCAAAATTTTTCATATACATATGTATTAATGATGCAGTTACCTTACAAATCGCCCTAGTCGCATAATATCAATGATCTACATAATTCACTTATTAATAATTTCACTTTCCTTTAACACTTTTATCACTGAATAAAATAGCGACCAAAAATTACTTATATGTATTTAGTACCTAACTTTGCAATAAGTATTTGCAACTAGTCGGCGTAGATTTTTTATGCAAACATGTATGTCTGGATGTGTGTACATGGCTTCTTGCTAAACAAAGAAGCTCAGTTTCAATAATGACCAAAACCGTTGTCTACTTTAAGGCGCAGAAAATGATAATTGATCTATGTAAGCAATGGGGTTTGAGTCTTTGCTATCAAAAATAAAGTTAGCTTTAAAGTTGAAGTGGCATTGTAGTAGCTATAGCGCTAGAGAGCCTAAAGATCCCCAAACAACCGGTGTGACCAGGTGACTTCTTAAGGCTATATCTAGCAATTATGTATTAAGCCCGAAATTTTAGATCTGGTATCGTGGCTTTTTTAATGCTACCTTTTTTAACCGACTTCACAAAACGGAGAAGGTTATCAATTCGTCGGAATATTTTTATTTTAATTTTTCCTTTATGTATGTTACCGCATAACTTTGGACCAAGTTAACCGATTTCTATAATTTTAAAAGAAAGGTGTTACCTCACAGGTGGTCCCATATTAATTTGGTTTAAATCTGATCATTGGGTCATGAAGAAATTTACAATAATCTTAAATTTTTATATGAGAATTGAAACTGGTTTTTTGTTTTTTGCTTAAAAATTACTTGTTTATACGTAGTTTTCATCGTTTTAGTATGTGCTCTGAGAAAAAAAAATTACTGATTTTGACGCATACAATTTACTTAGAAACCTAAAAATGCTTAGTTCGTATGCACTTTTTACCTCTGTGAGCGATGAGGCATGATTGGAAATTACCAAATATCACATTGGCCGGTGCTAGTCATTTTCTTCCATACGAAGTATATTCGATGATATGAAGAAAATGAGCAACACCTGCAACAAAAAAAAAATCCAAAAATCAACTATAAGTCCCAGCTACTTTAAACTTGCACTTTGTTAAAATTTCAGTGGCAGATTTGGGCAGCATTTATTTATGTTTAAGGATAGACGGAATTTCCGACACCAAAGGTGGAGAGCGTCAACATCACATTGAAGCCTAACCTCATCAAATTAGTCTTAGATTATAGCGTATACATACCTTAAGATCATCTGCATGGAGTAAACGGCTACTAACGTTATTTATAACAAGTAAGAAAGTCTAAGTTCGGGCGGAGCCGAACATTAAATACCCGGCGCAGGTATTAAATATATGTTTTCTCCTTTCCGAAAACTATCGCCACATGGTAAGCCGGGGTGGTTTAACCCGGAAACACGCCCATTTCAGTATCAATATGTTAGTATCAATGTTGAGTAAATTAGCGTCCTTAAATATCGAAATATCGATGTTTCAAGCAGTTCAGAAATTTGCCGTTATATGAAAGTGGCCGTAATTTTAGTCTGATTTCAATAATTTTTAACGTTTTGCACAATAACCATACCGAGTTTGGTGCAAATTGGTAGAACGGTTATCGAGATACATATATGTGATCATAAATGAACGTGGCCACGCCCATTTTCGAAAATTTTATCATAAACGTATTTCTTGGTAAAGAACTGTTGCAAGTTTCAATTTTGAATATATTAGCTTCAATATTTACTGATTTAACGAAGATTTCGTATTGTTATTTCGCGTGGTTATTGTTCAATTTAAAAAATTTTCAGCCATTTGGTATGTTGTACCAAGGCAACAACTGCACCAAGTTTGGGAGAATTGGTTGAGTGATTACCAAGATATACACATGTAACCATAAGTGAACGTGGCTACGACCATTTTCCAAGAATGTTTAATATTCCTAATTTTCATCTAAAAAGTATTTTATATCTCAATTTTGAGTCAATACTCTTCGGTAGTTACTAAAATATTGTAGTTTTTGTATTTCTGAAAACTACCGTTATATGGGAGGTAGGCGTGGTTATTGTCCGATTTGCCCATTTTTAATGCCATCCGTTCTACGTCTCAAAGAAGTACACGTACCAAGTTTCGTTAAGATATCGTGTGTACAGACGGACAGACAGACGGTCGGACGGACAGACAGTCACCGCTTAATCGATTTCTTTTTTTATTCTGATCATTTATGTATACATTTTTCAATATCTATCTCGGTTCGTTTTGCCTGTTACAAACAACCGTTATGTGAACAAAGTTATAATACCCTTGTGCACAAGTGCGCTCGGGTATAAAACGGACAAACAATAGAGAACCCATAGCGCTTCCTTGCGGCACCCCTTATTATAGAAATGTCTAAAAATTTTGCGGTGAACTATTCAAATTGGTTGACTAATGAAAATAATCTTTGGCAATTCGAGAATATTAGTTGAAATGCAATGGTAAATTCATTCATATGAAACTATGTTACGTCAGCCCAGAAAAACCGTCAGCCACAAAGCTATTGCGAGAATATGAGGAGCTCTTATTAATCAACACTTTTAGGCAGGTATTATTTACCTTACCTGCTGTACTAGAAGACCTACCAGTACCACTGTTATTCGATGAGTAGGAGCATGCATGTCTAGTTACCAATTTTAAAATTTATTTAATGAGTACCGTTCACTAGAATTTGTAGGGGTGTAGCTAAATTTCTTTGAAATCTTTTTAACGTGTTCAGCTGGTCACACTGCTAACAACTAAATAACTGCAAAAAGTATGATCACTACTGTATGTTCAAACTTTTAAATTTAAAAACGTCGTCGCTGAAAGTTTGAGTGTCCCTGGCTTTTCAAATAACTTCCGCTATCGAAAGTTTGGTACATTGTTTGGTTATTAAATGTGATTCTTACGCCAGTGCCACTAAAACTGTCGATTCGAAAATCGGTTTGGGTATGAGTCTTCGGTATCAGTTTGTTCTTTGGGACCAAAAACAACTCTGTGAACCATCTAAGCAACTCTTCCTGTGCCCGGCACTGCAATCGTCCTGCCACTATTAAAAATACTGCCGTCGATAGATCGTATTCATTACTAAATCTCAGATTGAGTCATTAACCGTTCAGTTACGCCTCCCTGTTGTTATTGCGAGTGCAAAGTTAGGAACCAAATGATGTTGAATACTCGCGTTGGGTAGAGTCGCGGGATTCTTCTCTTTCTCTCTGTTGTAGGATCACAGATGCTGGTCATTTCTGTACCAGCGTTCTCTGGATTACCATTAAGTGTAACCGTTGTTGCTACCAACTATAAAATCTGTGTCGGACTTGAAAAAGGGTAATGGTTGTGCGCCCTCCACTGACCAGGTCCGTCAGAACCGGTAGCTAAGCCGTGGGTGCCAGGTGGTGTTTGGTACTGCACGTCCGATAGGTCGCTAACGAGCTGGCGGCGGGATTCCCAGCGTTCTGGTTACCCAGTGCAAAGGGGGGGATGCACATATTCCTTATACTAAAGTAAGTGTTGGGCATACTTCTGTCATCCTCCTCTTGCAAGGACATTACGTGTAAGTGGTATAACGGGCCTGACAACCACGGGGACCCTAGTCACTCAACTTGTTGTAGTTAGGCTACAAGGTCTGACCAGGGACCTAATTCTGGTACAACGTGGAACCAGCTTCAGCATGATCATTGTGGTAGGTCTCTTCGGGGAGTATCGTGGTGGCTGTGGTTTAATTTCCACCATATACGGGTATAGTTGCGTTTTGCCTTGTTGATGTGGAGTTGTATCCGCTGTGCTTCACAGCATCATGGGGTTAGGTGGACAGGCAAATCTCCGAGTGTATTTCTGGCATGAAAAACAGCTTCTCATAAAAATACAATCGCGGTTCGGAGTCGGCGTAAAAGTGTAGGTCCCTCCCCTTTGTGCAACAACATAAAGGCGCACGCCACAAATCGGAGGAAAAGCTCGGCCAAACACTACCATATATGTTAGCGCCAATCTATTATTTTCAACCATTTATTTTCACTATTTACAGGGGAAGAAAATTCAGATGATCTACAGTCTGTCATGGTTCTTGAGGAAAATAAGAAATAGATACCGTCAAGCGTTTCCTCTGCCATTTTCGGCACTATTGGGCTTATTTCTATGAAACGAGGAGTTACAAAGGGCACACTGAGCCCAAGTTTAAGTCTTTCTGGGACTTCGGAGTGGAAAATGATGTCATACAAACCACTTTTAATCTCGATATTCGAAGCATAACTACCATTAGCTAAGAAACAGAAGAATAAGAAAGTATGTAGGATCGATAGAGCGTTCTATTTGCGACTAATTGCTACTGCATTTCTCTGATGCCTTTGCCTTCACATTTGTCGATCGTCATTTCAGAGGAGTTACTTAACGTCTTTTCTTAATTTACTTGTCAATTTCAGTACATATATATATATATCATTCTTTTCCTCACTCACCTGCCACACTTCGATAAAGATCGCTCACAAATCGAATCCAACGAGCAATCTTCGCCGCCACCAATGGAATTGTAAACATTTTGATTAGCATCGAAACAATAGCTGCAACTGCAGTAGGAATATTGTGAGCAACAAAAAGACGACGCCACCTCAGCCGCATCCAGATCTGTGATATTGATAGAACAATCCCCATCGCTGTTCGTGCAACTCAGTTCGCATTCTCTATATAAACGCGGAGAATTTGTAGGTTTGGTGGTGGTAGTAGCGTCATGTTTTTCTGATGCCTTGGTGCTGCGACGTGACCTACAAACGAAAAAAGTGAGAGTTCAATGCAACACAAACTTGAAAACTATAAAAATGTATGTATACTCACCTTTTGCTGCGCGTATCCACCGTCTCCACCATAACATTCCATGTGCGATGTATCAGATAGAGTAGGAAGAGTACACGCGACGTCTCACCATTTGGTGGCGCTGACGCTGGCGGCGTTTTACTACGTCCATGACCGTGAATGTCATTGGTCGTGTGGTCACTGCGTCGTCGACTGTGACGCGCTGGCAATGTTTTCGACTTGTGTGGTGGCACGCCGCCGTCACCGCCGCCGCTGGAGTCGAGTGTGGAATGATAGCGTGACTTTGGATTTCTGGGTGTTGTAGAGGCGCGCGAGCGATTATTGTTGGTGTTGTTGTTGTTGTGGCTGAAAACGCTTGAGCCACGACTGACGGCGTGCGTTAATGAGTTGCCCATTTTGAGTGAGGTGAGCAAGATGAAAACTGAAAATATTCAAATTAAATATAGAGTTTACTGAGGGAAAATTATTATTTCGGTGAATTTTAATAAAAAGAAAACTGAGAATAAAAAATCGTTCCTTAAGCGATTATACTTTTAAATGAATGCTTAAAAATATAAGCTAAATTTAAAAAAAAAAAAAAAACGTTTTCCAAACGAGCAAGAAAAATTCAGCTAGAGACGAAGTTGCTGCTGGGAATACGAGAAAGGCGCCCGCAAGATAACCCCCATTTCAGCCATCGGCGCTTATCGCTGACCTTACCATTTCCAGTGCATCTACTGCCTGTCCCCCAGCGGCTCTTACCTATACTTTCGCCGTTGCCTGGAGTCACCAAACAGCCCACAAGAAAGTTAAAATCGGGTAGATCTCACTATTGTCTAGAGCCACTGAATGATCTAAAAGTGCATCTACCGGCTTTCGTCTAAACTCTAACCGTCGCGTCTAATGCATCTACTGACCCTTAAAAGCACTCTTGCCACAAACCCTGCTATTCCACCGATACTGGCACCAGTTACCGCCACTTACTAGGGGCACTTTGAAGATTAGGCTTTTCAAATCCAAAGCGCACTCGATACTGTTATATGACTACTCCACCTTGAAAGCCACTACTACAATAACTAGGCGCCTGCAAGTGTTCGTAAGCGAATGTCTTAATATAATACTCCGAAATCTGTTTTGCCTAAAACAATCGCAAATGAAGAGTTGCACGGAAATGCTAAAAATGAGCTCCTTGACACCTGGATTCGCAGGAAGCCACACTTAGCGCAAAAAAGAAGGCAGTGTTGCAAAGAAGGCCTTGAATTGGAGTCCCCTAATAGGCAGAGCCAGCCCTTCCGGCAGACTCCGCGAAAACGATTTCATCTAGAGGCGAAGCAACTCAGGGAAGCGGAAAGGAGTACAAAGCGCTTGCCAGAAATAGGGTCAGCTGGCACGCAGGCGTAAGTTTTACTTGGGTTTTAAGCACACGAAGAATAATACTAGGGTCACCGGTTCTAGACAGCGCCGTTCGTCAGCTCTGCAGACCCCATTTTTTCTCCTGCTGGCAGCTCCTACATGGCTCCACAGTCGCTCTCTATCCCATTCCGTACGTCAGACTGCTAGCCCACTTACGCAGACGAGTGTCTGTTCGTTGTGAATACAGCACATTAATGGGGGCGGGAGTCTTACCCCCAGCCATCAACTAAACCCACCACATAATCCAAAGCATGCATAGAAAGAACTTCTTATTCTTTGATCACCTCGAATCACCTAAAATGAGAGATTCGAATGATACCGATGTTCTTTCTGGTTGAGCGCTGGGTTTGAGAGACCTTGGAAAACATTCCAAATGAAAGGTAAAATTAAGCCTAGTATAAAAGAAAATTATTTTCAACAAAAATTATTACAAAAATATAAACAACACAAAAGAGGCCATTCAAATTAATACGTAAGTAACTCAAATTAACAAAGCTAATTACCAGTTTAATATTTTTTTTTTTGGATATCATACTTACAGTGCTCTTCCAAATGATTAGAAACAGTACTCAGATCTTTGTAGTTTAAGGTTTATACGGTCTTTTGAATATTAATTATTTTATATACAAATGTAGTCAATTCAATAACTTAAATTCATATGGCATAAAATAAAGTGTCAAACTTTGTGTAAAATTCGCGAAAATTCAACAAATTTTCAGAGTATGCAGTTTTTTAGCCCATTCAATTTCAATACAACAATGTGTTAGTTTTAAGTAGTTCAAAATTCGCGTTGTTTTTAACCGACTTCCAAAAAAGGAGGAGGTTATCAGTTCGTCGGAATTTTAGACTACAGCAACCGATTTCGATAATTCTTTTTGCATCGGAAAGGCTAGTGTCTCAGAGGTGGTACCATACTAATCTGGTTTATATCCGATCATTGGATCATGAAATATATATATATATTTTTTTTTATATGCGAATTGAAGTCGGTTTTTTTTTGCTAAAAATTACTTGTTTAATAAACGGTTGACGGTTTTGTGCATTGTCTTCCAAATAAAAAAAATTTCAAACATACTTTGTGCAGAAGAAAATGCACAACACCTTCGTAAAAATCCATACTCGAAAAATTTCTGAAAATTCAAAATAAAAATTTTTTAAATTTAATGACGATTTTTTGAAATTTGTTGAATTTTCGCTAATTTTGTACAAAGTTTGAAACTTTCACTTATGTGGTTTATGTTATTGAATGAAATATATTTTTATATAAAAAAAAATAGTTAAATTTAAAATAAACTTGAAAATATAAACATCTGAGTACTGTTTCTACTCATTTGGCAGGGCACTGTACATATCCACATTAATTACCTACTCTTTCCTTAGTTGCGCAGCACTTAAACACTTTGACCGCCTTTTATAAATACTCATTAAAATCGACACCAATGCTGACTGACGCTTTGAAATAACTCCTCACCACTTCTTGCACACGTTATCATTAGCGATCAATCCTCTAAATTGCGGTGTTGAAACTCGTTGCTAAGCTTGCCGGTTGAGTTGCTAATTTTTTTGCTGTTCTCAAATTTCTTTACTAAGTGTTTATGTACATATGTATGTATGTATTCTGCTGGTGCTTGTGTTTTATTAAGTTTTTTTTTCTTCATTTTTTATATACTCTTCCTATTGTGTTTCGCTCATTGTTTTTAATTCTTGCTTTTCATTTCGTTTTCCCTCCCCTTTCACACTTTACACTCTTTGCTGTCCACCTCATTTGTCTATCTGTCTTCAACATCACTTTACCCATTCATTGTTCTATCAATTTCGTAATCGTTTGGCATTGCCACTGCTGTTGAAATGCAAATCTTTGCAATTTTCATTGGTTCAGCTTGACTGCCGCTGAAGTTGGTGTAGCTGACATACTAGTCTTAGCCGCAGTCGAGATACAAAACGTGTTGGTCTAATAGTAGCTTCTGTCAAGTTGCTTTGACTTGCATGGACTACAATACTATACACCCAAAATTCTTCTCAAAAGAGTCGTGAGGAATTCCTTGATCAGTTTTCATAGTATACCTAGGGAAATACCAGTCAGTGTCTCGTCAAAAACACTTAACAAAACTGGGAGTTTCTCACTTGCGTGCCTAGAAGCCGTCTCTGACAGTCCCCATTTCATTCCGGTAGAAAACGGCCTTATGGTTTCATTTATTCAGGTTTTTGGCGCTTTCTAAGATAGCATGAGACACTCTGTCCTAGAGTAGGGCGCAGATGGTACAAGGTATAATTGCTTTGCAAAAGCTTGGACTCACTTGAAAAAATCGTTTTGTTTTGTATGGACCATTGTTGCGACCGGTAAACGTTCGTAAACGCTTCACTGGGCAAGGGAACATGAAAATCGGTCTATCGAACAATGGAAACCGGTGTTATTTACACATTACAAACGGCGAATGTACTGCCATAGAAAATCGAATGAACAGCACGCGCCTCAATGTATAAAGGCAACAATTAAGTTTGGCGAAGGCAGTGTGATGGTATAAGGGTAATTATACGATGATTAAAGTAAAAAGTTTTGCAGAGCAGTGCACTTCCACCCTTACCAAATAATTGGTCGTGTAGTTCCCTGCAACATCACTGTGTCCCAGATGAAGCTAATTTGGGCACAATCGCACGGGATCTTAAGAAAAATCAGCCATTCCCCGTCTCGTTTTAAGCTTACTAGTTGGCTGTCAGAGTAGATGTTTAAACCGTCTTATCCACGTAATGCAGTTGACTAACATAAAGTCTGATTCATCTGAAAGTTTTAGGCTGGTGAACAGTTCTCCAGCCCGTGTCACAAAGCTTTGACCTATTAGTATAAATATTCACCAGTCTTTGTTTCTAACTATGGCTATGACTGGTTATGACTAATAAAAAGAGCTACTTGGAGCCAGTCTACATATGCAGTCATCTGTGTTTTCTGGAATTGATTCGAAACTTTCAAGAATGCTGAGTGCGCAAACCCACATAAGGGTTGTTTTTCATGAAAGTCCATCAGAACCGTATACTCACGTGTCCGGAATAAAATGCCTTTTAGTTATATACAACAATTGAAACAAAGAGAAAAGAAGGAAAAGTTCCATAGCGACGCTTGGAAGTTTCATGCCCCTTAATACACAATTGGAAGATACGAGTTAAATAGTATCGTGAAGTTTTTTTTTTTGAAAAAATATGTTTTTTTTAAGAGTACGGCGAAAAAAGGCCACTTATTGCCCTTGACACAGAGGGAACTACCTAACCTTTAAAAGAGGAAGGTCTCGAGTGGATTGAAGGCGTATAGATATTCGATGCCCCTACTATACGTCAGTCAATACTCGTGTCCAGTGCAAGGTGGTTTATCGAGGTAGTCACAGATTAGATGACTGAAATTGCTGCAAGAAAGTGCCTCGGGTTGGTAACATCCATCCAGGCTGTAGGAAGCAACAACACCTTATAAGAAGCGTCCAAGACTTTTACTTAAGTACATATATTAAGTATTAAATTATAAAAATTAATTCCTGAAAAAACTTTTTTCAGTGTATAAATAATACAAGTAACTTTTTTAGGCAGTCAGTCTTAATGTCCGTGCAAACGCAAGACAGATTCAACGTTTTACTGGCTCAACTTTCCGCTGGTCTGTTTCGCAGTTAAATGTACTGTCAAGGTCGACACCTGTACATTAATACCAGTGTTGCCAGAATTTTTTTCAGCGATCCAGCTAAATAGACAAAAAAAGAGCTAAAAACAGCTAGATAAAAAAATGTTTAAGGCTAAAAGAAGCTAAAAGTGTAAAGGCAACTATTCAAATGTTTTATTAGTTTTTTCAAAAAAAAAAACAGCAAAATAGGTACATATTTCTTACATCCAATAACAAATTAAAGTTTATTTGCATTTAATTAAACGAATTTAATTTTTAAACGGGTGGCAACGCTTTTAAAACACCTCAGTAATATTTAAATGTTCAATCTGAAAGTTTCTTAGCAATCTTTCATTTGACACC